AGTGTGGGTGACCATACGCCCTGAGGCTGCCCTGTCCCTTAGTGTGGGTGACCATGTGCCCTGAGGCTGCCCTGTCCTGTAGTGTGGGTGACCATGCACCCTGAGGCTGTCCATTCACTTTGGTGGTTGCTGTCCAGGGTCCTGCAGGACTCCAGGCAGTTCTTCAGACTGCAGAGCTGCTTCCTCATGACCAACAGGTTGAATTTGTCGAAGTTCTGCAGGTTTTGGACCTTTTCCCTGACGGACTTCAGCTAGAATCAGGGAAGACAAGTACAATAAGTACATTTTATCGTGACTATTCACATCGTACACAGACTAGTGATATTTCTTGGCTTTTTGAAAACAAATCAAATTTGACAACACAAAATACAGAATATGTATTTAAGACAGAAAAAAATATGATAATGATATACAGTATAAAAATAGTTTCAAAGAGGCATATTATGGTTAATGATAAGACACAACACTGAGGAAAACCACAGTGCATTAAATTATTTCATAATTCTGTGGGGTTTGACCAACACAAAAGCCCTAATCTCTTTAGAGCTGAGTTTGCTGAAACTTGGAGACATAAAGTTATTTCTCAGCAGTGCAGCAATAAATGGAGAACTGAAACTACTACTACAAGAGTAATGAAGCAAATAGCTCTTCAAATAAAAATATATGTGGAGATTGCTATGAAACATTGGTTAGGTATAGAACTGACAACAACAAATCTCCCTCTGATTACAGTATATTACTCTGCTAAAGTCCTTCCATCCATCCATTTTCTAAATGCTTTATCCAATTCGGGATCATGGGGGAGCTTGCTATCCCAGCAAGCAAGAGGCACAAGGTCTTTCTCACACCTGAAGAAGGCTCCATGGCTGAAACGTTGTGTTTTCTTTCTCCCTTTTTTTCAACATGGAATAAACCTATTACTTGTTCCTTTGCAGCCTACGCATGCTGACGCAGCTCCCCACCTGAACTACTTATTGTACTTATGTACTATAGCATAATAATACATTAATAATGTAAACCTATTAACATGTTCTGTCCAGATGGGCTCTTAATGACCTAATTCAAATGATAACTAGCTTAACTGGACAAATTTAACACCACCTCCAAGTTTTTCAGGTTCTGGTGCAATTAAGAGACCTGGAACACACAGACACACCTGCCCCGTGACCATGATTAGAGTCCCCTGCCTTAGGACCATGCTCAAACAGCGCACCTGGACAGAGGGATGTCATGATAAAGGAATTGTACCCCAAAATAAAGTGAAAAGGGACCAGAAAAGAATAGATTTTGTCTTCCACCCAAAACACTTTGCTGGCAGATGAGTGTGATCAGTAGGCAGCTGCAGTCATTTAGTCATGTGAAATGGAGGAAACTTTTTGAATCAGACCCAGTTCAACAGCAGACACAAAGACCAAGTCCATTTATTGGAATGGAAAAGTTCTATTTTAGCTTTGTCTTAAAAGGCATTTATTAGTTCTGTATTCTTAAAATCTGTATTCTTAAAAGCTTGTTATTGAAATTGTAACTGATGTCATATCTTTTAATACACTATATATTGCTATAAGCCGTGTTAAGCAATAACTACTGAGATCGTGTAGTACTGACAATTTCTATTCATTCGTGTGTTTTAAGTGGTGGTATGGAAGTCATAAAGAACCTTTATTATTTATTTATTTGACAGTTTGGAAAATGAGTGTCATTTTATACATGTAGTTTTAAATGTACAGTAGTTTTAGATCCGAGCACCATTGTCTTAACAACACATCATAGTAATCCTACTCCATGCACTGATAATTCTCTTTATAATGTTTTCAGCTATTGGAGTGAAATCAGTTTTTGAGCAGTTTTCTTGCTAAGGTTTTGTGTTCACTGAATATGACTTGAATTAACTATTAGCATCAACCTTGTTTGTTTCCTTTGAACTTCACATGGGACTGTATCACTCAAACCTGTTCTTTTACTGAGATTGAAAAAAATTAGGTCCCTCCAGCAAGTCTGCATAACACATCACCCCAGAATGAGCTGCTTTCCTTCCGTAATGAGGAGAACTTACCTGGCTGAAGTGTGTTGTCTAACTGAGGCATGGTACAAAACTCTATATGTATCCTCAGTTTTGTTGCAAATTAAGTTAATAATTAGCTCAGTAATTCTGACATTTTTAGTGAAGAGCCTCTTGTGTGTATTAAGTCTTATGTGTATTAAGTCCAATTAAATTATGGTAGAAACATTGAAAGCACTTCAAATAATAGTTGAAAATGTTATATTTTTCATCAATTTTAAAAAAATTCCCCAAACCTTTATTAACATCTCATTAAAGAACCCCCATTCAGGATCAATGCCTGAGGCGACGGTTATTTTCAGTGGTGTTAATGGCTGCCTGCAGCTGTATTTTGTAGGCCGGGAGCAGGGTTGTGGAGTCGGTCTGTCAGAACACAGTGAACACAGGTCTGTAGCCTCCTCCTGAGCTCTTCTGCTCGTCCTCCTCCCCTCCCTCTGCAGGGTCAAACCCAGCTCCAGCTCCAGAATCAGCTGTGACCCTTTCTAGCATTCTGTCTCCAAATATCTCCAATCTGATACTTCTCTCACCCACCGGCACTTAATAGTTTCGGACCTTTTTTGAAATCAATACTTATATTTGTTTATACTGCACTTTTTGCACTTAATGTAGCCTACCTTCATTGTATAAACTCTGGGTGCTCTATGAAAGTTGCTGTGGACAAAGCAATGGATTTCTGTTGTTGCATTCATTAATACCATTGATATATTACACATTTAAAGGTTTTTTTCTTGGCAAACCATATTTCTCTTCACCCCTCACCAGAGTCAGAGGGAAGAGGAGGACCTGCTCACAGAGGTGGTGACCCTTCTCCTGCATCCTGCTTCTGTGAGCTGAAGAACCTGGGCAAAGCCTTCCCCTGGCAGACACTGGAGGACATTGACAGAGGAGCTAGCAACTCTCACCAAGGAGCAGGTATCACAGTCAGGAGTGTTGACTGTGTCTGTACTTATAAAATAATATATTTCAATATAAGGTTCATGTCAGAAAACAATTCTTAGATTTAACAGTGAAAACTGCAACCTTAATAATCCTAAAAGCAGGGTCACCTCCTCTAGAGAACAGATATCTAATCCTGGTCCTGGAGAGCTCCAATCCACTGGATGTGGAGGTCTGCTGAAGATATGGATTAATTCCTTTGTGATCAGTTAAAGAACTGATTCATAAAACTGATGACCTTCGAGATCTTTTAGGACTTCTTTTAATCTAAAGAGTTCTCTTAATTCAACATGAATTGCTTGCGGATGTTATAAATCTTTAACCATGGTGACCTACAAGACCAACAGGACTGGGACTCTCGATGACCAAGGGAATCCGCAAGGATCTCTCGGAGGCGAGCACATGGAAATGTAGAAAACGTTCCCAGCAGGTTGTGAGAGGTGTGGCTGGATCGATTGACAGACCTGTTCATGCCCACAGTGGCAGGCACTACCCATGACGTTACAGCACCTCCAAACTTTGAATAAGATTCACAACACTCGCCTCTTAATTCCTCAGATCAGATCATCTAAGATCTTTCACACCTTAAATATACACATACTGTATCTGCATGTTTTCAGCCTGCTTTAGCCCCAGCAAATTTTCTGTATGTCTGTGTTTAGCCATACATTATGACAATACATGACATGCTTGTTAGCAACGAAAATTTTAAAAAGAGAAACAATTTGATTCATCCATGAACAAAGATGTTGGTTAGAATATCACCACAAAGATATGCATACCAGGGTACACTTTTAAAGATCTATTTCAACAAGCAGTTTGTTTTATGAGAGGCACTCCAATGATGACATAAGACATTGCGCAGATCAACTTCTTTATCCTTTTCCTTTTCATGCAAGCCCTCTTAGCCCAGCCAAGCTTATTAAATGACTGTCTGTGAAACAAATATCCTTTATAAAAGTATTTAAATCAAATATAGGGTTTTCTATTAAGCCCTTTATTTGTCTCTTTTTGACAATATTTTTACACCAACATTTAACAAAGATTGTTGCCAGATAACAGGCACAGAATCCAACACAATAGTGGAAAGCAATGATGGACAAGTGAAAAAATAGATGCTGTCACTTTTCCAGCACATAAAAACCATCACCATATTATCTAGATGCTAAGGAAAGTGATTTTATGTAGGCCACAATCTGTGGATAAATGAGAAGCAGCGAGACATCTGTGTTGACATAAATCTTTTTATTGTTGACTATATTTTATTACATCACCAGTGACACCATTTATATAATACTTCAGAATTATAATTAAGCGATTTACTGTGGCACCTACGTAATGTGGGCTTGATTACAGGTCATAGAGAAACCCACAAAATGGCAAGAGAACAGAACAGCTTATTGCTGAATACAAAAAAACTAAATTATACTATTAATAATTAATAACACCCCACAGGAACAACCGAACCACAGGAGAACACTGGTCATAATATAAAAAAAGAAGGGAAATCAAGGAAGAGGATCAGAAATACTGTATTCATCACAATTTTAAACTTGTACTGAATATGTACCTCAGTTATCGCTCTAAAAATGGCAGGTATCTACAGCGCAATTGCTCAATAAATACAACACTGGATCTCTGGGGGGAAGCACATTTAAAGGTTCTTACAGCACCTGGAGACAATGGACACAGGTTGCACAGCTCAACCAGAGATGTCATCATATCTAACTATACATTCAGCTTTCACTCTGTAGGCTTAAAATAGGACTGCGGTTAAGCTCAGTGGCTAGACTGCTAGGCTGAAAGCAGGCTATGAAAAGAGGGAGCGAGTTTTCTTAGAATTACAGACCACATGCTACACAAACTTAAAGAAAGACAGCCTTAGGTTTTCACTGCCTTCGGATAGAACAGGCCAGGAAGAAACACTATCGTCATAATCCAGTTTCTTTTTCAGAACCTGTTAATATTAGCTTTTAATGCGCTGTGACCCACTGACACCTAGAACATTTTCTTCCCTCTTCTGAAACTCCTTCCTCAGTGTTTGTCATGTATTTCACATTGTATGAAAAGTGACATTGATTTGAATTTCTTTTCCTGAACTTGCTGATGTCTTGGTCATCCAAAACTGCTCAAATACCCACCACCTTTATTGTTTCTTTCTGTGGCTGGAGATCTTGACAGAATGGCCTTACGTTATCACAAGATATCCATGTTCCATCTACACCGACCTTCTCCGCTAGTCTCTCAGCCCTCACTGTAAAAGTAGGAAAAAAGCCATAGTTCTTCCCGCTAATCCACAATGCCACATTCCTGTCAGTCATTCAGCTCATACCACTCAGCCCAGTGCCAATACCTGAGCGAGATAGTCTCTGTTCTTTTCCTCTTTTGTGTTTCCCTTGCCTAAAGAAACATATTGTTCCCAAGCTTATTCCATTTACAGTTTGTGCCTATATAGCCCGGAAATGACATGATTAAACTCTTTCTTGTTGTGCTGCCTAAAAAAAACCTAGAAATTGTGACATCTCTGACCAACTGTACTGCATAACCGTATTGCTCAAAATAATAAAACATACATGAGAAATGAATGATTAAAACCTGGAGGAGAAACCGTGTTCCTATGGCGACGCATCTCTGGGCTAGGCTCAGCAGGGGGTTGGAGTACCTTGTAATGAAAAACAAAAGTAGAGGGAGCAACACATCCAGAAACGGAGCAGGGATCTGGAGAATGTGGGAAGGAGACCTGGGGGCTACATGCTCAGCTCACTGTACAGCACAGCAAGCATGAGGAGAAGGAGAAACAGAGGGAAGAAAATGGCTTTGACCATCCAGATGACTTGAATAAAAGATGATTTCAAATATAGTAGATGGGACCCACTTCATTGTAGACACATGACCGTGGGACAGCTCGTTTTTTTAAAGTTAGCCCTCATTTACCAAAGAGAGCAAAGACCATCAAAATAAACGATTTTGGACAGGGCTAAATTTTGAAAGTAGAACACTACCGTTAAAGGTACAGTATGTGTGTATTCAATGTTTGGATTCTGTTAACAAACTATTCCATTTGAGATCCAAATGTATAAACAAAATGAATGTAATGTGAAATTTGGGACCATTTAATTTTCTATCCTACTGTTCAATTTACAGTATGTTTTAGCACTAAAACGTAGTCTTAGTGACCAGGTATATCAAGGCAACAGTAAAGCTAGTATACTGTAGTTCGGCCATGTGAAAACATTTAATTTGAATATCTAAAAGGGTTAATGAAGCAGAAAGTTTCTAGTTTCTGTCACTAAAAAGTGTTCATCCTATAGGTACAGTATGTGAAACTCCCTGTCTGGCTCCTGAAATTAAAGAGAATTGGAAATGATCTGGCTTTGCTTTGAAATAATTTATAGGGATGGTGGATGGATTTTAAGTGAGTAGAGCTGTCTGTTATAGACTATAAGCACACACTGTATATCACAACATTTAGTTTTCTGCATTGGTCCCAACACTAGTAAGGGAATTAAATGCATCCAATCTGATAGCCCTTATAAGGCAATTAATCGTATCTGGGAGAGGTGGGGCACAAGCGATTTGTGGGGAAGTGTCCTACATTCAGAGCTCAGAGCAACAGGCTCTACAAGCCCCACCCCTTACAGACAGCCATTAATCCCCCTCTGTGCTTTGCTGCCAGTTACAGAATAACTGTCTTGGATTTGACATTCAAGCTGACATGAAAAAGTGCTACAAGGAAAAGCCAGTGATACCTGGAAAATTCCTGGGCGCTCATGGAGACATGGCATTTTTTAAAAGTATTCTTCCAAAAGGTAGAAATGATTCCACTTTAGGTGAAAATAACCAGTAGTAAAAGGTGGGTCTCCTCATTAATTTTTCCATTTTGTTCTCCTTTTCAAAATGAATTTTGCTTGTATGGAGAAAGTAATTGTTTTGAAGATAAATTCCAATACACCCCATGAGACTTTCACTGCTTTGGGACTGATTTGTCTTTTTCCTTGTGTAATGGATAATCCTAACAAAATAGATCGTACAGTATGACCAGCCACATCTGTCAAATTGTAATTTTGGTTAAGTTTGAATAGAATATTGCTCAGAGGCCTATAAAGTGATCTGTGAAAATTCAGCATTTACATTGAATTCAGTTCATTTTTATTTTGTCTAGAAGAAAAGTTGTAGGAAACTTTGTCTATGCATAAGAATACTAGGAGATGTCTGCTTGTTTCTTTTAGGCGATCAGCTGCTGTTATGTCCCCACAGTGAAAAGCCCCCGTCTTTACCTCCCCTTTGGTACACGTTAGGAAACTGAAGAACACATCAGTGTGGGGACATGGGGCCTGTTATGGACGGAAGCTTTGATATCAAACCTTGTGAGTGTCTGCCTCGGGGCAAATCTTTGTAGCTGGTCTAAGCTGGCGCTGCCACAGCTCCAAAGTCAGTTTTGGTACATGGTAAACGTGATTGTCATTTTAAAGAGACTCTAGAAAGCTGATCGTTGGCCAAAACGCCCCCCATTCGGACCCGCCAGCCTCGGATCGCTTAGTTCTCACTGGCTGATACCATGAAAGCTTTGGTTGTATCATCCAGTCTGCTAGCAGAGACTCCCATAAAATTGGTTTAGGTTTGAAAGGTTATGTCAGTGATTCCAAAGAACAATATGGCTCATGAATATTATGAGTTCATGGCCGAACGCCTTCCCCTACAGTATGCAAGTATAAGCCACTATCCGCCCACGTTTTGAAGATCCACTGGACCAATTGCAGCTATCTAACTTTCTCTAGCTAATATAATTTACTGTCATGTTGATCAGTGAGTCTCCTAAAACCTTTCCCATCGCACGGCCTTCTTGTGTCTCACAGTTGCACTATACTTCCAATCACATACTTTGCTTCAGCTGGTCTGAATCATCAAATTATCATCTGAGAATTTTTCGTTCCACCCCACAAGATATCTACAAATTTGAGAATGACAATAAAGGAACACATTTTAGAATTTTGATTGCTTCAATTACTTTCTTCATATGCAAAATGACTGGATTTTCACTGAATTAGTCACAAAGAATGAGTTCATTATTTGGAAGGAATTCACCCCAGGGATGAAGAATTTCCCAGGACCAGGGGCTGAGCCATGGTTAGTCTGTGTTTGAGAAAGATGGACATGAGGTTGACTACAGAGCCAGAAGAATGCTGTAGGCACGGCCACATGGCAATCCCAAGGGTTGGGCCCACAGTCTCTCCTTCCCATTGTTCAAATCCAGAGGGAAGAACCGAAAAGGCTGCAGAATGACACAGGAACCACCTTCTCAAAAAAGATTCAGAATACTTCAAAAGGCTGAAGGTCAAGTTAACGTTCCCATCCCCCCACAACCATTACACAGGAATTTAACCCACACAGCATATCAGAGAACAGGATCTGGTAATGACAAGCAGGAGGATACACTGCGAAACACAAACGACCATCACGTGAAACCAGCTAGAAACAATGGCTACTGTTCTTAAGTTAAGGAATAGGTTTTGTGTTGAGTTTGCAGAGCGAGGGGAGAAGAGGAGGGGTGGATGGGAAAGAGAGGGATGACTTGCCAAAATGGCGGCCCCACAAGAGTGCCCGTCATCTGCTGAGGCCTCTTTTACTGTCTCTCTGCCGGCCTCCCAGGTGTCTTCAGCAGGACACCTCCATGGTGTGGTTGATCTGGCCCACGCCGTCGCTGCTGTCGGAGTGGGTGCACGGCCGGGCGCGCGAACCGTCCACGGAGCTGGCGCTGGTCAAAGAGGCAGTCCTTGAACGGGCCAGGCGAGTCATGCTGGCCGAGGGCACTAAACGGGAGGGAAAGAGGCAATGGCTGATCCACACTTCCATCGACACCAAGTACTCAAGAAAACAGAAATTGAAATTGGCTAGAGGAGCTGTCGTGGTCCTATTCTGTCGTTGCTGTTTCTACTTGTTTCTGGATATCTGTGTAACTGGGTGATGACACGGATGCAGAGTTGCAAATTAGGTCTTTCCCAGTGAACACCTTTTTCTAAAAACAAAAGAGGTCTAAGAATGCACAATAGGATGAAATCCATCTTTTAAAATTGCCCTCCTACTGTTCCTCTGTACCAGGAGTCTCCAATGCTGGTCCTAGAGAGCCTAAGTCAATCCAGTTATACAGTAGGAAGCCCTTAAATCATCCATTTCTAAAGGCATGGAACATGATCAATTAAACAGTTTCACCTAAGTAATTTAGAGATCATTTGGAACCAAAATCAACATACAGTATCCTTCAGCCTTTAAGTTCAGTAGTTCCCTTCACTGAAACCTTATTTGCTTAATTAACCTAAATAAGTGTTTAAATAACAGGTGATCTAGGGTGACCTTTAAGAATAACTGTATTGGGCCTCTCCAGGACCAGGGCTTGGAGACACCTGCTCTACACTCTCCCAGTTATAGATCACCTTAAAAGATTTTTGTGTGCAAAAGCAAGAAAACGTGCACCACCCCTTTCTTGGCTTTGTCTGTTATAGAGGTTAAAACACGTGAGGTTGTTCCAGAAAGGTAAGAACTTCTTTCTGCAGTCACACACGTACTGTATATTGGGCTTGAGCCATTGGGAACTGATTTACAATTCTTCTGCCTTAAGGGGCACCTTTACCTTCCATGGCCAACACAATCTCAGGATCCCAATCCTGTTCACCTCCTGATAAAATCCAAATGAATCCTGCATTCCATTACCCTTGACACAACCTCACGTGAAGGTGATCGTGCTGGAAGAATGGAATGAGACTGAGATTGGGCTGGGAATATTCCAAATCCTTGTGAAATACAGAAGCCCAGCACATTATTCTTTGAGGATCTCTAATATTTTGGGTGAGTGTAACTTCAACAATTATTGCCACAATGCCTTATCTGTGAATGTCTGGGTTGTTCAAGCTCAGCTATCTATTTCTCTGGCTTTTTTTCCTTTCTGCAAATCCTCCTCTCTTCTAATACCCTTCAGGTCAATTCACTTCCTCACAGGGAACCACCAACAGGTCCTCTTTGCTTTTTACACATGCTTTCTCAGGATGTTCAGTTAGGAATGATAATACATCCCTTCCTGAAGATACAGTAGCGTGCCATGCCTCCACACAATGTCTCTGTTCATTTCTACAGGATTTAACACATTGCTACTGTCAATTTCAATTTCTGTATAAATATCAGGGACTCCGTCTGGTTTTGTGAGTTAGTGCTTTTTAGATAGAGGAACTGGAGACCTAGAATTCTCCTGCGCTTCCATAAAAAGTACTGTACTTTGAGAACCAAAGTAGGAAGCAAAGCAGACATGCAGTGTGAGGTCATTCCAGTGGAATTGAAAAAGGTGCATAAATAAAAAAACAAGAGATTTAAAGCATCATTAAAGAGGTTTAAAGCATCAGTGGTTAGTTCAGGCCATTTTGTGGAGAATATTAAATATTAGCTCCCTGATCAAAGTGTACATTAGGACAAAATCAAAACAAGTGTTATTGGTGCTCAGGCACAAGTGTTACTGGTGTTCATGTCAGTGCACAGGGGTAGATTCACAGACTCTGAAATAGCCCTACACTTGCCTCAATTAATATTAGTTGGTAAAAATTTAATTAGCTACAATAAGGGTCTGTGAAACCACTGGCTCTTGTTCTCCAATGTACTGTACAAAAAATCTGACTTCTTCAAGGCATTAACTAATTTTATACCACGACAGACAAAGAGGAAGCTTGCAAAATACATTAAAATGTATAAATGTACATTATACTATAAGATTAAACTATAAGATTAAATAAGATTAAACTACATCAAAACTATAAAACAGTTTAATATTTTGGTAGTTTTGTATCATTATCAACTGATCAGTAAAAGACAGCAAAATAGAATGTAGGTTTCAGAATCACTATACATGTAAATCATAAATCAAATTGTTTTTTGCATTTCGTTACTATATTTACAAGCTTAGGACTTTGGGTTTATTGTGTTTCCTTGTTCTTCAAGGGTATAAATATTTCCTTTCATTTGAAGATTACATTTTATTCATTATACACAGAGGGAATATTAAAAGTTAGTTTATTGCTTCTGGGAATTAACCCAGTAGAATAGTTAATCTGATCTCTGAAGGTACTTTAATTGGGCTACTTTACTGTAAAAGGGAAACTACTGTACATACAGTAGTACAAGATTACTACAGAAACATACTGTAAGCTGAAACAATATTTTACAGTTTTTCCCAGCAAAGTCGAAAGTAGTTCAGCACTAGAACCTTAGACTGAGTGCCAGTTATAGGAGTGTTATTTTCCACTTAAGTGATTCTACTATATGATGAGACTAAAATCGTATATCAAGGGTTTACATGCCTCATGTGACTAAAGTCAATGCTATCTGATAACTGGAATTCTAAAGACAATCCCATCACTAAAATTACAAAAACGTAAAGGAGTAGGTACTGTAGGAGCAGCTAAAATATTGTAGAAATGTTTAAATGAGATCCCTTCAGATGTTTGTCAGCCTCTAACACAAAACGGTTCATCTACACAGGAACAATTAAAGTTAGATGGAAGCACAGAAAAAAACAATGATGAGATTGCCAGTGTGCTGTCTGAACATACTGTACAGTACATGAGTCCTGCTGGAGTCCAGATTTAAAGAGGGGAAAATGTTCTTGGTAATTGCAAGATTTAACTAGCTAAACAGATGAGTGCAAATTAACTGTTTAATGGATTTTAAGTGTGGGCTCATCTGTTATGCAGGGGTTTGACGCAAGGACAGACATTCTTAATATTATGTTTTATTTTCGCTGTGCAGATTATTCAATATCCTAATGACAAATCTCAAGCACTTTGCATGTGGCTACTCAGTGTTGCTTATATGCTAGTGTTTTGAAATAGATCTAGTTTTGTCTAGATCTACTTTAGATCTAGTCAGTTTTGGAGTTCACACTATGTATAAACTCCTTTGGAGCAGATGGTGGAAATCCATGAACATTCGCAAGCTTTTGTAGAATCACTGGATAACAACGGACATGCAGAAGAGCAGAGCATTGACCATAAGGACAGGATAAGTGAAGGTACAGTACACAGTTACAGCTGCAGGCACACAGCGACATTCTGCATGTCAAATTGTTCAATTCACTGGAACATTTTCACTGCCACTTGGACACCGGAGAGTTCAATAATCTTACAAACTGTATCATTGACAAGGACAAAGTGTCTGCAGCTGTAGAACCAATCAATCTATAAATATAATATGTATCTCTTACAAGGAACACTCTCCAGGATTCTGGTGGATAGAAGCATGCAGTCACTATGAATTCTACATGCTAATAGATACAGTAGCTGGATAGATGGATAGATCACCATGCAAGCATATACTGTATGAAGCAACTTTGGGAAAACATTTTACGTCCTTCAAAAATGTAAGTTTCATGTACTGTGTCATAATGACTTTCCACATTTACTGTAACAACAATACTCAAATAAAACCTTCAGCAACATACTTGAAAAAAAACGAATGGTCATTCAGTCTACTTTAAAGTTTCCAGAAAGTCCTCGTATATTAATGGATTTGCTCTAAATGAAGCAGGTTGAGAACACATACAGTAGAAATTTACTGAGGTCACCTCAAAAGCATAAAAAGAGTTGACTTTCCAGAGGGACCCTGTACCACAAAACAGCCTGACCATGAAAACATCTTGGAAAGAAAACAGGATACAAGTCGGGCTTGGGATATCAGGAACAGATATGTCAGGGGAGATCTTCATTAGGGGCAAACTGACCACTCGGTAGCAAAACAGGCAGATCAACCTCTAGGAAACAGGCTGTGGGAGTTTTAAAAAAAAACATTTCTACAGATGGGAAAATATCTAAGTGTGCATGAATGACAAGAGAGAAAGAAGGAACAAAGGCACTTTCAATGGACAAGGCTGAGGGAACGCGAGGGTTAACAGCAAACAGGAAGTACCTGCTCCTCCACTCAACCTCCGATCCTTTAGATACGCAACTGAGAGAAGGAGGCAGGAAACACAAAGGGCAAGGTTAACACATCTCCCAGTAACACACAACACAAAAAAAACACACACACTGGATACAACAAGATACAGTGTGGGAGGGGGAGGTTAAGGCTGAAACACAAATAATTTTTTATATACTGTATATAAACAGGCACAATTTCAAATCTTGTTTTCCTGCCGGACAGATTGCGATTGTGCCGTTGTGGAGATCATATTTCACAGAGCAGCACACTGGAGCTGATGATTTCCTACGGGTTATCCACACGAATCCACAGGGTCTGGATTCAAACAGCAGAATTGTGAACAAAAGAATAAAAACTGCCGCATAATTAAAAGGTGCTGTATGCGGTATGAAACACTGTCAGACTAAACTGTACAAAGATTTCATTCTCCATCCCTCCTCCAACACTGAGAACAGGGTTGTCAGCTGTGATTACAGCAGTCCACAAATGACACTGTGAGACTGGAGAGAATTAGGGGGATGTCATGATTAACGGGTTTAGTGTGCCACACATATAATTTTGCTCCGGGCATTGTAGAGATACATCTACTGTATGTACAGTAGCTAGTCCATACAGAACAAAAGGAGTCTGGTACAAAGACATCTAGTTTTATAGATGAGACTGATGCCATGAGGTCTTTCAGCAAACTACAAAGAAGGTGGATCCTCAGATCAATTAGCAAATTGCAGCCTTATATTCATGCAACAGCATTTAGCCTGAGGTGTGACAGCACCCCTAACGCTAATGTCAAAAGAAATGAGCTCAATTATATCAAATATGAAACAAATTAATTGTTAAATGTATTGGGTTGTATTAGATAATGCAGGTGAACCAATCTTAGCTTGTCACCATTCTATTAGAAGGTGAGTGAGAGATGCATCACTTCACACCCCAAAGAGCTGAGCTTGCAAAGAGAGGAATGACTCTGAAAAACACCCCCCACTGTTATGATCGACTTGCTCTGATGTAAATTTTTGTTAACTTTTTAGAGTCTCGGTACTCATATGACTGCTTTGTAGCATGATGGAGTTTAAAAGATCAAGGTGAATTAACACAAAAGTTGCAGGAGATTAAGGACTCGTGTTTTGAGGGAACTGCCCTAACCAACAGTATGGTAGAACCATTCAGAACAATGTTCATTGTTTGAGTGAACATTGATGCATTTCTGATTGAGAGCTTTTTGTTAGAGAGACTGAGTATTTATTATGCATTTCTGTTGTTTTGTTTGTTTGTTTCACAAGATTACAGTAAAGGGATTACTGTCTAATCTCATAATGAACAGGGGAAAAGAAAGTGGAAAACGTCATTTCTGCTGTGAATGTCCCCATTTCTCAATCCGCATAAGCACCAGGTGGTCAAATCTGGGGGGAGTGGGGTTGGTCCTGTGGAGCTGCTGCCCAGCTGTCAGTATTTATTTTAAAACTATAACACAAAGGCAATGGTTTGATTTATAATCCAGAGGTCTGATGAAAGGAAAGCAGAGCACTGGAAGACCCCAGAGGGCCACCACCTCAAGCTGTTGTGCGATTGTGTGTTTTCGTGAAAAAGATTTTTCGTTAGGTCTCGGTTTTGAAGGGGGTGTTTAAACAGGCCTGCCAAGGAAATGGGGAAGTTTCTATTAGACAGTGAAACTCTAAATGTGGCTGAGACTGGTTTCTACCAAGAGGAAATGCTGGGAACAGTGAAACTAACAGCTTCACACATACACACATCTCTTTCATGCACCCACATTCACACAAGAAGATATTTGCTGGTCTCTAACGTTTATCTGCTGCCTAAAGCTGGCAGCTTTCCCTGACCCAGGTACTTACTGTATCCCATCCCTTGAAGAAAGTACTTGAAAGCCTCTGTTAGTTTTCCAGGCTGAAAGAGACAATGAAACAACACTGTTGGAAAAAAGGAGCAGAATGTCCATAAATTCCACAGCAAGAGGTGATTGATTCCAGAGTGGAGCAAAACAGTGAGAAACAGACAGTGAACTAGACCTGTTGACCTCCTTTTCCCAAATTCATGGAATCATTTTTTTCTTCATCACTAAAGTAATGTTAAAAATACTGTACTGTATATATTCTACAGTACTATACAAAATCATCAAATGATGTTAAAAAATCTATCATGTACAGTATAATTGGAAAATATACACAAAATGAAAGTCCACCAGGCACATATCTCACAAGGAAGGAATATAAACGTCGTCTGACCTGGGTGACCTGAGGCAGACCGCCAGAGTCGGCCATCTGTGAAGGAAAAGCAGAACTGGGGTGAGAGGATCTCTGGGATCTTCATAACGGGGTGTGAAGCTTACTCAAGGGGCGCTGAATAACCTGCAGATACTGCATTATCCATGCATTAGTAAGTGTAACTTTATTCAACTACAGTAAAACACTGCAGACAGCAGCACACATACAGTAGATAGCATTACAAAACATAAGGTAGGACCATTTCTGTCTTTCTAAGTCATAGTCATTGCATTCTGCAAGATTTGCATTACCTTCAGGAAAGTGGTATTAGTGGGATCCAGCTTGGAGTTGCATTCAACCTTAAAAAAAAAAACAGATTGCTTGAAATACAGACATCAGTGATCAGCTCTGAAGGCATCTGTGCTCAAATGACAGCTGAAGAAAAGTGCAGTGAGTCCTATTAACCACACAGTTACCCACTCGTTGTATTCTTACCTCATCACAAACATTGAGCACAAGAAAGCAAACACAGTTTTACTGACACTATGTAGGACAAGTTCCTAAAAAAACAGTCAAAATTTGAGAATGAAAACAAATCAGTTCTGCCATTGCAATTTTGAATGCGACTGACGTGAATTTAAAAAAAATGTGAGTGCTAGACGCTAGATTTACACACAAACTGATCTTCTGGCTTGAATGAATAGACAATAAACAGCTATATTGACCCCTGAGGAAATTGTAATATATCAGAAAAATGTGTGGACATATCATTTCAATCATTACATTTAAAATCCAGTCAGTTCAAAATGTATTTAAAAAAATGGTGCATTGAATATAATTAAAATAAGTGTCTATGAATAGAGTTCACCAAATTCTGAATTTCTGAATACCATAGAATATTCTGCTGTACATTTGATATTGGCACAGTACAGTACTGTACAGGTATATGTTGTGTTGAAGCTATCGTTTAGCAGACCATTCATGTACAGCATTTACTGTACCTCCAATTAAAATGCTGCCATAGGCCTTCATCCCTAAAATTTCAAACTACTGTACGTGTTATTCCTTAAATTTTAAACATGCCCAAGTACAAGAGCTTGATCAATTATATGTAAGATTAGAAGTGCTACTATAAATGACATGATGGGCACAAAATCTGCAGTTTCTTACTGTACCTGTATACAGTATGTACAGTACATACAGTATTAATCTTATTGTTTCTACTGTAGAGAAAACAAAGAATTGATATACTCCTTACTGTATACTGTATATGATTGAATTGAATAAAAATTCAACGTTAGTTAATTACATTAGATTTCCCCATTTTGCCAATGCCAACATAACTCCAAGTAACAAAGGTAATACACTCTGTTTTTAAAAGACGGATTTCTTTTCTTAATGATGATCAACTGAATAAAAAATGGAGCAAAAAAAGAAAGGAGCTGACAGTTACAGTGAGAATGAAAGAACCACTGTGAGACAGATGTGCATTTTCAGGGTGAGCCTACTTGAATGAGAGGAACAATCAAGATGTTTGTACTGTATTGTACGACACCAGTTTGCTTATTTCACAGTTTATGACAGTGTACTGCTACAGTAGATGCTGGTGTGGGCTCCAGTAACACATGTACGTGCTTCGGAAGAGATGTGGGTCAGGATGGCAGAGGGAGAGAACGGGGGGGGTGGGGGGGGCTAGCCCAGTACCGCAGTCTGCTGCAGTGATGAGTCATCTCTGCTTGCCAGGGGCAGCCAGCTGGCTCCGTGCTGCTGCAGACCCTGCGTCAGCTGGCTGCCTCTCTCCCAGAGCAGGACGCTGCTGGAATTGATATTCCTGCCACACCAGCTGCACAGACAGCCCCCATCTCTGCGGGGGTGACTTTGAAATCCTGTGCGCCTGACCTTCACTTGTCTGCGGCCTTCCGTTTCAGGAGCCTGTTTAAGGCCAGTGAGTGCAGAGATGGACGCTGCCTCATTCACTTGAATAATTTGTTTACCAATACAGCGAGAGATATAAATACTGTATTACATCAAGACTGTGGTGTACTGTCATCTAGACTGCCCTAGTTCCTCTGCAGTCATTAATACATTGTGACTGTCATAAAATACAACACAGAACTGACTTTACGTTGAGTGCAGATTCTGTGTTTTTCTGAATAGGAGAGAGCTATTGTATGTCTATATAAGAATTCTAGAATTTTGCAATAGGGATTTGTAATCTGGAGGTATTTTTTTAAATGACCAACATATTTACAATTGTTAGTTTTAGTTCTGGTAAATTGGTAAATGTGGAAGAAAAGAGACTGTGCTGTGCTACGGGTTTAAAGAGCTGGAATTTTCATGTCTTTCAGCTGATACCTCTAAGAGAAGCTCGGCACCCTCCTTGATGGACATGTTGTTTTGTGTGTTTTTATACCCATCACTTCTGGCAATTGTCCATCAACTCAGCCTGTCACTTGAAGATGGATGGAGATATCACTCACACCTCCTCCACAATGTGCATCTATTTATGCATTAGAAGCGCCACAAAACTTCCAGTCAAGTTAGTTTCAAATGGAAGACTTTTGTAACCCTTGCTAATGGAACTAAACATTTACAGGTGCTTTACAAGCCTCAGGAGTCGCTGATGAACTGCGATCTGAGCAAACTCTCCCCTGGTAATTCTCAACCCATTGTAGTCTGCCACTATAGAAGATTCAGTCACAGTTGCTAAATGACACCAGTCGCTGGTGAGGGCTGGATTACAGGTCTCAACCTGTGCACATAACAAAAGTCCTGGGCATCTGTTACCCAGGACAACCACAAAACCACCCTGTTAAAAAATTAGGTGTTTCAAAGAAAGAAAGATAAAAAGTTTTTTTTGCGTATGACAGAAAATCCAAACGCAAGATGCAGAAACAAAGCGTTAATGACGCTCTGAAAAAAACAGCTGGAATAAAGGGGAACAAAGTTGAACAAAGTTTTTTTGAAGAAAAAGATTTATGCTCACAAAAGCATAAATATCTTTTGCAGCAAGACCCCATCCAACACTTACTAAGCAGCAATGTGATACATTTGTCAAACAAAAATATTGGTTTGGTGAAAACATCACTTTGACTAATAAAGTAAAAATGCTTTTTTAGCCAGGGGCTTTTTGCCTTTTCTGCAAGGCCACCCTTGAACTCAAAGAGAAGACACACAAAGCCAGCCCCTTATTCATCTCAAATTGAATGATGCCTGTGATATTCCTTAACAGTAGGAGCACTGTTATTGTGAGAAATGACCAGTATTCACACTCACCACTCCTTCTTCAGCTGGGGCATTGTCTCCAACCACCAACATGGCTGGGCACCTGCACAAGGAAAACACAGAAATGAGGGTTTGCTACAGATCTCTCCAATACCTCAGCTATGGTAGACGCGTGGGCTTAGTGATGGTATTAAAGATGTACAGATTTAAAGAGATGATTGCAAAATTTGGAGAGAGGTTATCAGAGGAAAAATGAAGTTTACAGACCTTTCTTAAGTGTATCGTTAAAAAGTGATACATACATTTTTCACCGAACAATATTAAGATGGGAAATGAAGACTAGGAAATCATACCCTTCATCTCATAAAGTACATTATCCTTTTGGAGCTCCTCTACACTTTGAATCCATATACTGTATCTCTACACCTTTCCCCAGGTCTAACTAACACCTAACCATAAATCAAACTGTACCACTCTGTACTGTGAGGAAATCCCAGCAGTGTGGTAACAATTAACTAATTAACAAGACAAGTGGTCTGCTGACGACGTCTATGTGCTACTGTATATGAACACTGAGGCACTCACTGCAGGGTCTTGGCATTGACCACTGTGCCAGGTCTGTTCATCTCCAGGTCTCTGCGGCTGTTTGAAAAAAGACCAGAATGCATTAGTCCCAAACGTGTTATGCAATTTCAGGCTGCACACTACTATAGATAACTGCAGAGTCCATATTTAATGTTCGCTAAGGCACCTGATGCAAACTTTTATGACTACACAGTGTGTACCCCTGTGGTGGCTGTGGTGAGAGGTAAAGAACTTTGACAGGTTTCTGTTCATTCTCCCTTTCAAATACACAGATGCTTAAAGCAATGCAGCAGCCATAATGTAATATTTGCAAGGTTGTGGTCCCTTCTCTTTAATTCAATCTTATAGTGGATGAGGAGAAAAGCATCCTTTGACAATCAGATGCTTCACAGGAAATACCAATGCCACTCATTTCTGCTAAACACAAGTGCCAGCTGCACTCCTCAGTGCAGGAGATCTGCAGGCCTGGAAAGTTAAGAATCAGTCTTAACGTTGGGAGGCAAATCAATCTTTTTGTCAGCAGTAGTATGCGTTCAATAAAATATCACACGTAACCAATGAGCAAAGAAATTACTCTGCAAAATGTAGCTGACAGCTTTTTTGTTAGAAGACTATTTGAATCAGGCAATCCTGTAGCAGTACTTGAAATAATGTGTAGATCCAAAATTGAGAAAAAGGAGGACACAGTAACCTTGTTTCTGACTTGTTCTAGTTCTTATCTGCTGTGTTCAAATATGTGTGTGAAGTGGACAACAATCAGAAATCCCTGTAAATTAGTTTCAGCCAACCCTCGTGAGGCATAGCAATGAATCACAAACCCCATTTTGACCTGGAAATTTGCTGTAAAAACTATGACCACTCAGATCTCAAAAGCAAAAATAGACTGCTGGTCCAGAATGCACCCCACTCTTTGATCTTCAGCAGGACAGCCCCAAATAATGTCACTGGTTTACTGTATCAAACTATAGGATTGTAATAACCACATCACATTACAATCCAGCATATTCATTTCTTCACTACGAGCACTAAAATATATATATTTTTATTAAATAACTTCAGTCTCAAAAAGATAATGTGGAAAATTGGGTTAGCTTCAATTCCCACTCATTCATTTTCAGTCTTAGTCTGAAACTTCTGAAATACTCATGCATAAGTGACTGCTGAATTGATGGGAAAATATACCAATGTTCTTATTTGCAATTAAATCTGAATCATAAGGATCCTAGCCCTATGTAGATAAGCAGCTTTTAAACTAAAGATAATCTTTATTCGACACCAAGCACGTAACAGCAATTTGCATATGGCTTGAAAAATCATTTTCATGCCCTGAGGCGATGAATTACCTATTGTACATGTTCCAGAAGAGCTGCAGATTAAACTGATTGATGCTGCTCCCAATCTGCTGCCTGTAGCTCTGCACAAGCTCTGTGTTGCTCATCAGCTCCTCCTGTGGACAGAGTGTGTCAGTGTGGGTTCAAACTTCACATTACAGTATGTACCCCAGCAGTACACAGTGACCAAGTGACATCAGCACAGGGTAGATATTAAATACACACAGCACTGCATACTTCTAAATTAATTGTAAAACATTTTAATTATGTACTAGTTCAGAGCTGTACATAGTGGATGTGATGATAATACAAAAAAGTCTGCTTTGTGTCTGTAACTGTATGAACATTCTAATATCATTGAGATTTATGGATTTAAATAAAATCTTAAATGAAATTAGACATATTAGATGTCTTATTAGGAAGTCATATTTCTATTTTATACTAAAATTCTATTAAATTAATATTTTTATAAAAGTAATATTTTATAATATTATGTACAATTCCAGAAATGACCCTGATCAGTCTAATATCGATGTTGATGAGTATGTGAAGAAGTTTGCTAAGCCTACATCTGCATTTTATTTCCTCCACCTACAAAAGAAATCGCAGGAAAAAATCCACTATATCCTTATACTGTTTAATTGGGCATGTCGCAGCTTTTGTTTGTGATGCAACTATATGACTCTGAATCTTCCAATAAATTAACTGCTGAAATGATTCTTAATTATTTAATTAATCCAGGTGAAGATCGCTTTGATGATGAGGCACTAGCTGGAGCAAATCCTTCCAACTGAACAGAAATGATACAGTTGGTCATCCTAATCTTGCACAATCAGGCTTCTTGCACAGTAAGTGTTGAGATTGTTAGTACATAAAATTTCCTGTGGATTTAGCTTTCTGTTACTGTGCTATACTGCACTGAACTATAAGAGAACCATAGGTTTCATACTATGAAGCACCAGTCTTACCTGGCTGAACAAATGGGACAGAACTGTGTCTGGAAGAGAGCTGGTTAGTCCGGACAGCTGCGGGCAGAGAGCGGGGAACAGGAGAACGTTTGGAATAAGGAAACTAAATTCTGTCATACAGCTAAACAGAAACACCCTCAGTCCACAAGAAAATCAACCTGTGCAATAATCCAGACAGGTCCAACACAGAAGCATAATCAATAATGATTATAGGATAAAACAGAAAAATGCAATTTAATATATTCATCTTGTAAAAATCAGAAGCATCAGACTAATTTGTATCAATGTATCTGTAATTCTAAATATCACAGTTTATGAATATTTGAATAAAAAGCATTGTATATATTGTAAAAATTCACATTTAACCCTTTTCTGCTATTTCAGGACTTGCAGGACAATTACTAATTACCATAAACTGCATTGGACAAAAACCCCTGACATCATATTTTCGGTATTTTTGGACCATAGTATTAATGTTTTAGGATTTTATTTTAATGCAGTATTCTTCTTTCCTATGTGTGTTTAAATAATAGGGAGCAGCCATTTTGTTCTCAGTTCAACAAAATGGCTGACATCAGCTGTGAAATTTACAGAAGGCTGTAAAATACCAAGACTTGTGCAGCCAGAGAGAAACAATAGCAAAAGGTAAAGCATGACACTTTGTCACTGTGTCTATTTCTGCACTGTATACATATGCTGAAATACCAGACGTGGTGTACCAGCAGGCAGCTGTTGAAATTAATCAACACAATCCAGCAGCGCGATTTAGCAGAAAGATTTTTCAGACACACTGTGGAGGTGGCTAACATGCTCTCTCAACACTATCATAATCTGCACGCATTTAATAATTAAAGAGTCATTGATAAGACAGAGCAAAGCCGGATGAATCTGTGACATAACCCAGACGTGAACTGGTACCATCTTTATCAGGGAGTAAAATGAGTGCCAAGCACTTTACTTCAGTGGTGTTTTCTGAGCTTCTGCTCTGGGACCTTACTTTATCCATCTTCCTGAAGGGTTGAACCATTCCAGATTTCAAAAGGAGCTAACAGAAAAGGGCACAGAAGTCTGGAAATGCCCCGCCAGAACATGAAGCAGGACCCAAAACATATTTTTACACTCTCACATCCAGCTTTATCAGACTTTTCTGGAAATTTCTCTCAGATAAAAGGTCATGAAATGATTCGCTTGCTTAATCAAAGGAAAAGGCCTACTCTCTCCACAGTATACGAAAACATTCGATAGCCTGTAAATATGTTTGCCAGGATTTTTGGCTCCATATTATTAACGTATTGCTTATCCTGGTGAAGGCTGCAGCAAACAGGAGCCTGTCCTGGAGAGGGCACAAGGCAAGACTCATAGCACATGATTGCTCTTCCCTGGTTGGGACAGTTTATGGCCGCCAATCAAAACCTAGTCCACACAGCTTTGGAGCTAGGAGGAAACCAGAGCACCCATCAAAAACACACATGGCCACAGAGGGAACATGCAAACTCCACGCAAACACCCAAGGCCAGAACTGGACCTACTGTATGACCCTGGAGCTGGGAGGCTACAATTAGCCTTTCCACTGTTCCTCCTGGTACAAAAGAAATAACGTTTAACCTCATTTTATTTTGATTCTGTGGAGATTGTATGCCGGCTCTGAGTGTTATGTTTGGATGAAGCCTCCGCTAGATGAACTGCAAGCTGGAAATGCTCTCCTGGTAATGCCAAGAGAAGCCAGAACTGACCTTGGTCGCTGCCCAGTCGATCCAACCCTTCCCATTGGGGTCAATGTTGAGCAGGACCAGGCCCTCCACCAGGTCAGGGAAGATCAGCTACAGGAAGGAGGAGGGAGTGTTACTGTGTCTTATGAGTACATTTATACTAGAGCAGACATACAGTACATCACAGAGCCGTGTCTAAAAACATCATCCCCTTGTCCAGTGTTTATATTAATACTACCCTGCTGTATGTAGATCAGCACAAGGTACTGTTCTACATACAAGCTGTGTTGGTGTCTCCTCGGCCTTGTGCTTTGCACTGTGCTACAGTATGTACAATATTGTTTGTCAAGGCTGCTTATTTTAATATGACAGGGCTCTGGATTTTGCAGCTACCAATGTAAGAAAATCTGTGGCAGGCTGGCTCCCTCTCAAGAAAGGGATGTTTTTTATTTATATATACTGTAGATACACATTAACTACAGAAAAGCACTGTCAACATGTGGCAGCATATAAAAAATAATAATAAAAGAAATAAACACAAAAAACTTTGTCAGAAAGAAAGACTACATTGTTCTTAATTTTCTAATACTGGCTCATCGAATAATCCATGTTGTGCTCCTTCTTGCTCTTGTGAAAGTTTACGTTGGTAAATGTACCACAAGAACGTCATTAATTTTGAATTCAGTGAAGTTGTGAAGAGTTACCAGCCTAACAGCACAGTTTACACTAATGTTCTGAACATGCACTGTAGATAGAGCTCGAGACCACAAGGTGAAGTCACATGCTTTTCTAGAGCATCAGAAAAAGGAAGTGCTCACTTACAGCAAACTTAGCCAAGATGTAGGCACCTGCTCCCACACCTATTCCAACAATGCTTTTGAACCTGAAAACCACAAGAGACCCATTTGGTAAATTGCCATTATGCGTTTCATACAATATGTTTTTATTTAAATCTTTCATTGATAAGTGCACAGCGTGGTACCTTTCAACTATACTCACCCAAAGTGCTGGATCACACTGGGTAGCATTCCAGCCAGCTGGTCCATAGTGGGATACTGGTACCTGTGAAGGAGGCATTCAGATTATTCTTAGTTATGAATGATAAGCACAATGGCTAATACTTTTGGTGCACCTTTTTGCCTTATACAGCACGTAGAGAAAAAGAGCCTTTGTGAATAGATCAGTCTGTGGTCAGTGGTACTGGAACCCATTTCCACCACAGGCTTGTTGGGTGAGGAATGGGGACACAACTGACTAGTCAGAGGAGCTGGCCTCATAAAGAACTGCCCCACACACTGAGGTACTCCGAAAGGGAATTCTTCATGCCTCTGCCTGTGCTCAGTGCCTGAAGAGGGCCAAGCTCATTACCCAGTGGAGACTGCATCCAGCTCATACTGCACATGTGTGGCCAAGCACATCACAGATAACAGGAGGATATGATGACTAGACATTCACTGTACTCCTGACAATCTGTGGACATGAAGTTCTTCTACCCATTGTCCACTGTCCTCACTGATCTCTATGAAAGCTTTAGAACCAAGTTTAGATTATTTGAAGGAATACAGTACAATCCCATCAATCAGAGCTGATGATTTTGTATCATTGCTGTTTTGCATCTGACAAAGGGCATCCTTACAAAGTAGCATCATGCATGACTCCGGAATAAACTGAACTAGAAAATAGGACATCTTTTTATTAACTTCAAGAAAACAGACAGTCGGGAAGACAAAATGTCAATGAAGAAAATAGCATTTATTCAATGTACTTGTATAGGAGGAATGGAGTGATCTGTTTTTTATGATCATGAGATGCAACCTGATCCAGAGCAATGCAATGTTTCTGTATTGGATGGCTCCGCAAGACTAGACTGTATATTGTAACCACAGCTTGTGGTGTGAAAATCTTTTCGACCTTGAAACCAATTGACACATGTCAAAGAAGCATTAGCACATAGATGAAGGAGGTTAATGGTGCTGAAAATAGTTTTAACAGTCAGTCTCCCTAGCCCATTTGCATTTCATAGGAAGACAATGGTTATTAGGTGAATAAGATGGAGGGAATATAATGAGTCTCTTTTTGAAAGGCTCTCTGGTGTTTTGTATTTCTGTGTCCCATTTTGAGATTAGACATTTGCATTATTGGTCTATTGAGAAAACCACAGACCTTTCCTACAGACGCTTTGAGATATGTCCAAAAACCCTTAACGCACTCTTAGATTTTACAACACCTCCTTCAGATCTTCTAAGAACACTGTACATCTGTGTATTCTGTCACAAGCTTTCATCTGGACAGTCCCAGATTTCTGGGGAATTTTTTAATTTTTCTCCTTCTCATATGGGAGGCTGGGTCCCATAAACTAGAGGTTACTTCCAAAAATGGAGACTGTGCCACAAGTGACCTGTTGTTTAGGACATTGCAGATAGAAAAGCACAGCATGCCTCATACTGGATGAAGTTAACTAGAACAATCGTGGCCAATATCCTTCTCAGTAGGCCTGTATGTCTGTGACACTGTTGTGTCTGGTCTGGGCTCAAGCTAAAGCAGTTCTAGTGTGAGCACAAGTGATGTGAAAACGGATTTCATGTATGGTATACAGCACGTAGTGTTGAGCTATCACTGGAGCAGAAGGTTGCAAAAGTGTTTTGGGCGAATAAAAAAATCCTCCTGCTTTCTTGGTAAGTGGGACGAGCGGAGATTTCTTTTTAATGAGTTTTAATACAGCCTTACCCCTGGGGGAACTGAGAGGCACCAGTCTGCTGGCCAGGAGCATCCACATGGCACACGACAAAGTGCTTTGTGATCTCCTGCATGTCCTCGAAGTTGAAGAATGTGTTGAAGCACAGCTTGTCTGTGGAGCAAAAACAAATAGTGACATTTTAAAAAAATAGGACAATGGTGGAAAACGTCTTTCCAGTTTTACTGTAGTGTTTGTTGATGTAGCTATAAAGCAATGCACTCTCTGTGACATTAACATCTACACATATGCCACATTTGCTGTTTTCTACATTGTAAAACAATGCAGAAAAAAACACCATTTGGGACACAGGCAAAGAGTGTACCAGTGTAGGCCCCAGTCCAGTGGATTCTGCACAGACAAAGGAGACTTTATTTTCTTTTCCTAGATCTGGAATCATTTTTTACACATCCATTATGGAATCACCAATGGCTAATCCATTCAGCCTTGTGACTACAATCTGTGTACTGCTTGGGGATATTGCGTACCTGTCAGCTCCATTTGACAAACAGCACTTTGAACTCCACAGTGCTAAACAGCAACATTTGTCCTAAATGCAGGGGCAATGGATCTCTCAGTGACAACATTCCAAGTATGCAAGCAAGTCCCAGGGGAAGAGACCCTGGCTGGCCATTACTTTTGCAGCTCTGGTCACAGCGCGATAGTGAGCAGCCCTGGGCTCAGGCTGCACACTGACTGAGCTCTTTCACTTCTTAAGCTATTTGTCCCAGAGCAGTCCATTTCCACACCTAATAAGGATCAAACAAGTGTCTCAAACTAATACAAATCAAAGTTTCAGCTCCCTATACATTCTAATGACAGTCACTGTTGGCACACAATGTAGTAGGCGGTGCTCAGAGTAAAGATATACAGTATCTAGATTGAAATATTCTATATCAGGAAGAATATTATGTTTTATTAAATACTCTTTAGCCATGGATAAATGACTGTTATATGAGAGTAAAGGACATCAAAATGTATTTTATTTAGTGACATTATTATGACTAATAGCAATTATAATGGCTATATCTAATTGATGCCAAACATCAATTTTAAATAAAGTGAAACAAATTCCTCAATACTGTACAGTTCTTTATTTGTCAGTGTAATGGTGTTTAGTAGAGTGTATAGCGTACATATACTGTACAGAGAGAGAGTCAGCCTGGTGTCTCTCAGGAATGCAGTGCCTGAGACGTGGATTTTCGTCTTTCTGAGTGGAGTAAAATTATACTCAAGAACACAAAAATTAGCACAAGCTCAAAGGAAAGAAAATGGGACGTGCATTATGGCATTTCAGCTTTTTGTGATTAGCTTGCCTTTTTCCACTTGTGTTTGGAGAAAAAGGCAGGTTAAGTGCATTGTGACACGATGACCTTCAAAAAGCCTTGTCACAGCTGGGAGCTCAGACTGGACCGGATTCATTAACTTCATGCTGCAAGGGCTCTGGCCTTGATTTACAGACCAATCAATACAGACAGTTCTTCATCATCTGTTACTGACAAGCGAAAGATCAGGTTACTGAAGATGTTGCAGTCCTGAGCTCCCATTCCCCATTCCTTGTGCTTTATCGGCTTGGGTTATGTTCATGAATTTCAGAAGAACAGCGGACCTGGGGTGCACAATCAGCCAACAATTCAATTGGAGGCTTTTAGAAAAGGTCATCGCCCTTGTTGGAGGAAAAATGCAAATCTTAAATGCCAGCACAGTGAATAACAGAGATGTGGAGTGGCGACAGAATATAACACTCAATGTTTTAAACCAGAACAGATGTGAAGTTAAGAATAAATATTTTCTATTATTTTAATATTCAACTTCCATGTCCCATTGCGATCATCACTTCAGTCACAGCCCAACTCATAACCATGAAATCCCAATTCTGAAGAGCATATCTTCTAAAACAAATCAGAGTATTTCACATTCTATTAATTATACTTTTCAAAACCAATTTTAAAGGCATACTGCATTAATATAGTGTCCTAAAAATATTGAAATGCACTTGAAAATGTAAAGAAATAGGATATAAATATATTGTAAAATGGATTAACCTATTTTCAGCACTTCTTTTTCAGTCCATATATATCACAGTCTATAAATAAATGGGCTTTAAACTCAGGAGATTTAGACAAATCCATAGTTGTGGAATAGGGAAGCTTAGAGTTTGACATTAAGCTGCTGGGTTATAAGGGTGAGAGTCTGGCCATGTGGACACAGTGGGCAAGGTGATCCTTTGCAGAGAACTGGGGGAAAGTCTGAGGTCTCCTATTTACAGTATATGCAGGAGGAAGCAAGTGATTGGTAAAACTGGGAGTTTGTCCTCCCAGAATTTTATCTGAATGAATGCATTATTACTATTTCTTTAGGTTGTCATAAATATTTCAGTATTTTCTTCTGGTTATTTTATAATTACACTATATATCAATGAACTTTCTGGAATCAGTTGTTTTTGAACTGTTCTGCTAGGTTTTCAGAATGACTGAGACAGGTTTTCTCCCTGAAAGCTGCATTATATATGAAATATTTGCTTGATCAATTCATTCTATTGGCATTTGTTCTGCCTTCACTCTGGATTTCCCATCTGAACTAATTATTGATTCCGATAAGCCAATTCAACACGATTCTGAAGGCAAGGGCTTGATGAGCAGGAGCACTTTGATGTGGTGCTTCCAGTTTGAACCTCTATCCTACTTGAACGCTTTGATGACACAGACCCTTTCCAACTCTGACAAACATGTCCAGTGGTGAAATAATTAGTCTGAGTAGTTTATGAAGGATAACATGGATGACTTAGCAATAGTGTACAATTTAAAATAATGACATGGTCCACTGAAAGTGCAAACTAAATTATTGGCCTTCAGGCATAAAAGTTGTATTATTTCTATTTGTGTACGTGGAACCCAACACCCCGGACATACTGTATCACTCCTCTCCTCTGCCTAACAGACCCAGCAAGGGTTTTCTCAGCTAAGGGAAAGGGTTTAATAAAAATAAATGTATGTAGAACTTTGTAGCATTCTGCTAATTGTACACACGCTTTACCAAAGACAGAATGGTCTGATCCGACAGCCTATAATCTGCTCTCTGCACCCAGGCTTCTCAATCATAGACCCTAGAACATGCAGGCTCTGATGAGACATCACATGAACACGAGTACGAGTGATTGACCCTGAACAGATGGTGAGAGGCTTTAGAGCAAACACGCATATTGGTGGCAGTGTCGAAGGAGATATTTATTGAGGAAATATTAATTCTGGAAAGGAAACATGATTTAGTGAAGATGAAAGTCAAGAACGCTACAGGTACAGTATATGAGATTGTCTTCAAGGATAAGAGAAACAATTCCACCCTCAATCTGAGGATATTCTGCCCATTGTAACCCCTCTCATGCCAGTGCTCACACAATCCCTGTCATAGCTAGAGAGTCCAAACCATCCATTTTTATTAAAAAAAAACTAATCTACCTGAATTAACATTAAATATTTAAGGTGCCTAGTGGATGTTGTGCAAGGTAGGAATATGTATTCAATTGTGAATAAATAATATAGTATATAAAATGTATATTATATTTCTACACAAGTGAGCAAATACATTGGACACAGCAACTGACTCTGTTTCTAAGATTTTTTTTTTATTATCCTTCTTTCAGCTGAAATCATGCCAAACAAATAGCCGTAAAATATACTGTAGCTAATCTTTCTTTCCTTCTCGGTAATGTAATATTAATTGCGCCCCAGCCACTGCCTTGTCACATTTGCATTTTCATCGACTACAAGCGCCCGGCCCCCTCTGCCCACATGTGCCAGATGTGCTGCACGTCACTGGGCTTCAACAACCAGGGCAAGACACCCGCCGCGAGGGGAGGAAAAAAGCTGAGTCGCGAAAGTTGCTTCGCTTCGTGCTCCAGATATTCTTCAGGGAGGTAAAACCGTGACCTCCTCTATCTTCCCCACTTGCAGCAGCGTAAGCTCATGCTCTGCTCCCAGCACAATTTTCCGTCCTACTTCGGAGCACCGGATACGTAAATTAAGCAGAAAGCCTACAGTATATTCAGAAATAGCTTCGCTTATTTTCAACATATTAAAGCAAAGCATCCCCCCTCCTCCCTTAGGAAAACAAATTGCTGCTCATCCCACTCATCACGACCCCCCCTCCCAAATGTCCCTGACTTTCTCCTCTTTCTGTAATCTCTGCAAATAGGCCACCGGGCTGCTCTTCCTGCCCTGCGGCCCTCCGCCTCCGCTAAGCCAACTGCTCTAGCGGTGCCGCTCTCTGAATGTTAATAGAAGCTGCCGCAGCAACGCCGAACTGCGACAGACCTGGTGGTGCGCTGAGCGACTCCTCCCTCCCTGCATGACAGGAATGTTTTTTTGACCTACATTTTTTTTTTATCACACGTAAGCGCATGATTGGGAACGGGCGAATAAACTGGACCGATGAACCCTCCTACAGCTCAGCATTTTCTGTGGGACTAGTCAATCCTATAAACGTGTCTGGAAATCAGGGGGTGAAGAACTGCTTCTCCTCCATGTTTCTCATTTCGTGAGCAGCAATCACTTCATTCGGACTGAAAAAAGCGAAAAGCAAGACATTCTGCCGGCGCATTTAAAAGAATAGTTTTTGTGTGAGTGGGTTTTGAGTTGCTCCACATACAGTACGAACCCCACTTTAGACACAATTCAAATAAATATGAGAAAACAAGAAAAACGTCTGGAATGCCTACAGTACCTACGTTTAAAGTATGCAATTACAGTCTGTCAAAGTGGGGTTTCACGGCAAACTAAAAACTGAGCAAATCTTTGAGCAAATGTTACATACTTTTAAATAATAAATGATGATAAATAGCCATCAGTTTCCACTGATAAAAGGTGGCTTCCTTTATGACCATTATACTAGTACATACCAGGTTGTAAACCTTCCACAAAATAGTCTGTGTTCCTCAGAGTGAAATGCACAATGATGTAAAACAGTTCAATCCATCCATTTTGTCACCACTATACCCCCAATTCAGGGTCGCAGCGGAGCCAGAGCAACAGGCGCAAGGCAGGGCACCCCACGGACAAGATGCCAGTCCATCGCAGGGCATCGCTACAGCCACAGGCACAGACTCTCACACACTC